ACTTTGGTTTTTCAGGTTTCAAGTAAATTAAATCTCCATTAATAAGCATAAACTTTTGCCTCATTTTTTTTTACTTGCTTTTGCTGGAGTTTTTTTTTATACTAGAATGTTTTGTGTTATTATAATCATCAACTAATTTATCAAGTTAGTCCCAGTAAACAGTATTATTATTCGCACTAAACATTTTCCACATTCTATTTTTCATTGTTCTATTCCATCTCTCAACAATAGCTGATTCCTCTTCATTCTCAGTGTGATACAAATGAATACTAATTTTACTCTTTAAACAATCTTTAAAATGTTTACCGATAAACTCAGAACCTTTATCTGTCCACAACATCTTTGAAGAACGTTTGCTTGATTTAAATATTTCCTCACAGGCTTTACTAACACTTTCAGTCTTCTTGTTTTTCAGAGGTTTAATCCATCCATACTTGCTAAATGCTTCAATAACCATCAACAAATATTTTATCCCATTACTCCACTTACTAAACTTTTGCATTTCAACCAAATCAGAAGCCCAGATTTCATCAATCCCATTTGATATTACACTTCTCTTTGAAAAGGTTCTTTTGATTGGTTTATGAAGTTCATCGGCTAATTGTTGAGCCCATGCAATCACTATTACTCAACGCCGTTTTACGTTTTTTGTCAGCAGTCCAAGTTCAAGTTTTTGTTTAGCATTAATCAAGAATCTCGCAGTTTAAAAAACCGTTTCTATTGACTCTATTGTTTTGCTTAAAGTAAGCGTTCGCTTTACTCCTGATCCCTGCGGCAAAGAGGAAAAAGCTTTGTTCCCTTCAAGTTAATATTTTTGCCTTCATTCCGTTTCCGTTGATCCCGTCTCTTCCATCACGACCATCCTTTCCTTGGGTGTGAAAAAAAAAATTATTTAATGCTGATGAGTAGAAAAGAGGACGAGAAGAACTCACGCAAAAGAAAGTAGAAGACAACAATTTTGAATGCCACGTCTGTGATCTTGATCTCTTAGTAAATACTTTGTTTATTTTTCTACACCACCTGAATTAAAGATGTCCGGGCTCTGACTACGTTATCTTATTTTTAAGAAGGTTCACTTTTCCATTTTCAACAGTCATAACTACTCAAATTTTTTTTCAGATGAATTCGCCCAGTTTTAATATGGAACGTAACTATATGGCTAATTTAAGTTCCTATGGCAGAAATCATCATCTCAGTCATCCACTGACACCATTAGGTTATCATGATTCTACTTATTTAGCAAGTTGTGGGTTTATTTAGAGTAACAAACAAATGCTATTCTATCCGAGTTCTCAGTCTTTTTGGTAAGTTAATAATTAGGAACAAATCTGGTAGATCTCTATAAAGCAAGTGTTGGAAAGCATGAAATGATCAGGGGGAATTAGACCAATAAAACTCCAAAGATTCAAATAACATGGAACCAACCTCACTAGAAGATCAGACAAAGCTTTTTGTTTATTATAATAATAATAATAATAATAATAAACTTTATTCATATAGCGTCTATATCATTAATTGTTCTAGGGGCTTTACAAAAAATGTATTAAAACTCCAAAAAATCTAACAACTACATATATAAGTATGAAAAATGAATAAAAATCTATTTATAAATTAAGAAAAAGCTTGGTGAAATTAATATATCTTAAGTGTTTTTTGAAACAATTCAAGGAATCGGTATTCCTTAAAGATGCGGGTAAGCTATTCCATAGTTTAGGTCCTGCGATAGAAAATCTTCGATCACCATAAGACTTTAGCTTACATCTCAGGACTTGAAGTAACTTGTTCGAGCAAGAACGCAAAGAGTAGGAGCTGCTACAAAAACTGAGCAAATTGGATATATAACTTGTTGAAAGTCCATTCATAGCCTTATGTACTAACAATAAAATTTTATAAATAATACGGTATTCAACAGGCAACCAAAGTCTATTAAGCTAGGTGTTATGTGTTCATATATCTTTGTGAATGTTACGATGCGCGCTGCTCTATTCTGAACTAGCTGTAGGCGGTTCAAGAGAACTTTAGGTAGTCCATATACGTAGAATCGCATTACAGTAATCCAACTTGGTAGTCACAAAACCATGAATAATTGCTTCAGTAGATTCACGATCCAAATATGTTCTTATCTTACTAATGTTAGTTAAATGGAAATGACATGTCTTGCAAATCTTTTTAATGTGGTCTTCCATATCAGCACTGGGATCCAGTATCTCTTTACTCCTGATCCCTGCGGCAAAGAGGAAAAAGCTTTGTTCCCTTCAAGTTAATATTTTTGCCTTCATTCCGTTTCCGTTGATCCCGTCTCTTCCATCACGACCATCCTTTCCTTGGGTGTGAAAAAAATAAAATTATTTAATGGTGATGAGTAGAAAAGAGAACTAGAAGAACTCACGCAAAAGAAAGCAGAAGACAACAAGTTTGAATGCCACGTCAGTGATCTTGATCTCTTAGTAAATACTTTATTTATTTTTCTACACCATCTAAATTAAAGAGTGCCTGCTCTGACTACGTTATCATATTTTTAACAAGGTTCACTTTTCCATTTTTAACAGTCATAACTACTCACTTTTTTTTTTTTATTTCAATATTTATCCAGGGGCATCCAATTTAGCAGAGCTAGTTTAAATGGAGCCCTGACAGAGCCCTTTTTTCAGATGAATTCGCCCAGTTTTAATATGGAACGTAACTATATGGCTAATTTAAGTTCCTGTGGCAGAAATCATCATCTTAGTCATCCACTGACACCATCAGGCTATTATGATTCTACTTAATTAGCAAGTTGTGGGTCCGAGTTCTCAGTCTTTTTGGTAAGTTAATAATTGGGAAAAAATCTAGTAGATCTCTATAAAGCAAGTGTTGGAAAGCATGAAATGATCAGGGGGAATCGGACCAATAAAACTCCAAAGGTTCAAATAACATGGAACCAACCTCACTAGAAGATCAGACAAAGCTTTTGGTTTATAACAATAATAATAATAATAATAATAATAATAATAATAATAATAATAATATTTATATAGCGTCTATATCATTAACTGTTCTAGGCGCTTTACAAAAAATGTATTAAAACTCTAAAAAATCTAACAACTACATATATAAGTATCAAAAATGAATAAAAATCTATTTGTAAATTAAGAAAAAGCTTGGTGAAATTAATATGTCTTTAAATGTTTTTTGAAAGAATTCAAGGAATCGGCATTTCTTAAAGATGCGGGTAAGCTATTCCATAGTTTAGGTCCTGCGATAGAAAATCTTCGATCACCATAAGACTTTAGCTTACATCTCAGGACTTGAAGTAACTTGTTCGAGCAACAGGAGGGCATTTTGTATGCGCATGCGTCAACATGGGCTGTTGAAGTGCCACAGAGGCATTTTCTGTGAATTGTTTACGTTCAGTACCAGCATTTGCAGGCTGTTTTCTGGAGCTGAATGACGTGTATTGGGTGCTACGTTCCACAAACTTGTTCCTCAACGTATCGTGGTATTTCTACGATGAAAGTGAGTTTATTGTAGCCTCGCTGTCGCCTTATATACTAACAATAAAATTTTATAAATAATACGGTATTCAACAGGCACCCAAAGTCTATTAAGCTAGGTGTTATGTGTTCACATATCTTTGTGAATGTTACGATGCGCGCTGCTCTATTCTGAACTAACTGTAGGCGGTTCAAGAGAACTTTAGGTAGTCCATATACGTAGAATCGCATTACAGTAATCCAACTTGGTAGTCACAAAAGCATGAATAATTGCTTCAGTAGATTCACGATCCAAATATGTTCTTATCTTACTAATGTTAGTTAAATGGAAATGACATGTCTTGCAAATCTTTTTAATGTGGTCTTCCATATCAGCACTGGGATCCAGTATCACTCCAAGATTACGAACAGAAGAGGACGGATGAATAGTTTCACCCCCGACACAAACAAATTCCAATGAAGGACTGGGCCGATAACGTGAACTGAGTAGAAGCAGCTCAGTTATTTCCTCATTTAGCTTAAGACCATTAAGAATCATCCAGTTGTTGATTTACTGTACACATATTTCAATGCTAGATTTAGCTGAGGAGAGAAGATCATCACTTCCTAATTTAAACGTCACATAGAGCTGAGTGTGATGAGTTCGTGTCAAGAAGTGTTTAGTGCACCAATATTCCCGCGATAACGACAGATTACTTAATATTACCTCGACTTTATAAAGGCATTGAAGAACGTAATCTCTCTTATTGGAAATTTGGCCTCTTCGGTGATTGTTCATATGGTTTTGTCTTTAATGGTTCGTCTGTTGTTAGGTTAAAGGAATATAAAGAGATTCACAAGTAAGCGCGTCTATTATAGCTGTAGAAGGTTGAGATAAATTTTGTGATCTTGAAAAGAGATTAAGCCATGGGATAAGCTTTACCGACTTTCTGATCCAGTCCTTACCGAGTATGTACCACGGGGTGATAAAATTCGATGTTGTAGTTGGTGATTTGAAAAGTCCTTTTTCTTCTTGCATATTAGAAAAAAAAATTCTCCTGTCCATTGAATTATTTTGAAAAGCCGAAAAAAGAAGTATGTAAAAAGGCTACTCTCACATTTGTCATTAATTGACGCAGTTAATCGCTAATCTTAGTTCGCGAACTTTAATTATCGTTTCTGAGAGGGCTATTCTGAACAACGTACGCATTACAGACCCATCCGACCTAGAGTGTAACTGGATCTAGTCCTTGCTTATTTTACTCCTACCCAACCAACAAAAGGGTTGTTCTGAGAAAAAAACAAACAAACGACAAATAAACAACACACCCAAATCGCCAATGCTTTTTAGTTTTATTTTATGAGCAGTCAGTACAATATGTGAGAATTCCTTTTAACTGGACTAATATCAGGTCGTCATTGTCGGAACATTTGATATCGCAGCAGTCTGCTTCAGTGTTAAACCTACTTTATTATTGCCTGTTAACACGTAAGTATCTAATTCTTTCTCGCCTACTCAGCTGCTCGTGTATTTGCTGAATGGTTTTACTAGCGCACCATCACCCAGATTGGCTTGTTCAGGTAACAGTAGCCCGCGATACATTTGGTGCCCAGCGCCCTGCTGTTATCGCTGTAGATGTAGTTGTTTCCGGAGCCGTCAGCACCATCCCACATGTCAAGCCACTTATCCGTGCCACGGTGATCTTCTGAGATCCCAGCGTTTGACCAGAAGTGGAAAGAGGATATGGTGGCAAAACCCACGCTGGGATTTCTTTTCTTATCTGCTGGACTGTACTTGTAAAATCCATTCACGTTCTTTATCAACTTCATAGACTTCCCCATCAAGAACTTGTCGAATTCCTCCTTGTCTTTGTTTGGTGCGCCCGCCTTTTTGTTGTAAATGATTCGGATGGTATCAACGTCAGCAAAGCGGAACATAACTTCTTTCCAGTTACCCATACTTGGGTGTATGTGACTCGCGGCATCTGCGTTCTTAGTTGCAGCGGCCACTGTTGAGAAAACAGCTTTGATGAAGAGGAAGCCTGGGGAGACCTTTGTGGCAACTAGAGTCCAACCTCCACGCTCAGTTTCCATGTCGCAGAAGGCCTGGAACGAGTCTTTTGTCGAGCCACCGTTTGGATCAATCCAGTAAAGCCCACTGCCATGACTTTGGCCTGATCATAAATATGTTGAAAAATGAATATTATTCCGTTTCTGGATGACAGTTTTTCCCCAGAACCCAAGTCCATGCTTTTCTCCCCTCCCCCTTCCCCACCTTTTTCATTTCACCCTTATGCCTACCCTAAAGGTTTTTATTTCTACTCTCCGCAATCTTCCTCTGTAATAAGATCAAAGATGGCGGCAGCGGTAGTACAAACTTTATAAAGCAGCTTTCACTCGTCCCCAATATATACGCCTGCATTGCAGGCCAGCTCAAAGGCCAGCTACTTCCCAGAATTCTCTACAACTACCATTACTCTCCTCAGTCTCTAATGCATTCTTTTTATTTATCACAGTTTTAGCTTACCAGAACTTAAAATATCCAAACAATGGCGGCCGGGTCTATCTGCCGTGTAACCTTTTCCAACAGCCAGCACTGGCAGCCAATGGCTTCCATCACAGAGTTGCAAGGATTTCTGGGAAGTGTTGTAGCTTACAGTGCCGGCGATGTTTGCGGTACATTTCTCAGCGGTATCGCTAAACTTAAGTACACCTCCTGCGTTGTTTCCTGGTGAGCCACGTTCTCCTTTTTGACCCTGAAAAACAAACAAGTCCTAAACTATTCTTAAAACCCATCTAGGGTTGAGGAAACCTAAAGACTCAGACCTCCTTCTGTGTAAGACTGGCCTTTACCCCTGAGATTTCGTCAGATTTTAAACGGAATTTTTTAATCTTATATAACTAATTATTAGAACAGACTAAGGTGGTAGTGTGTCCCTTCCTTTTACTACAGAAAATAGACTCTGGAGTTAGACAAACCGGTTTTTTAGAGAATGTTTCTTAGGCAGCTGAAATCTCGAATTTTAGGGAACTTGAATAATCTTAGCCTTTTGTCCAGTGTGCTCGAAGGTTCTCCTCCGGATTATTCATCTTTGATCACAGAAAAATTTATCATCGATTTGATTTTTAAATAGCAGAAAAATCTTTATTCCTTTTTAATATCTAGAGAAACCTTCATTCCGTTTCCGTTGTAACTGCTGGGCAGTGTGTCAGACAGTGAAAACATGGTAATACTAATAGGTGCGATGTCCTATCTTACCGTTCTGACCATCTCGTCCGTCCCTTCCTAGGAAAAAAATGAAAAAATATATTAGAACAACATGAACAGATAGGAATTACGATTCATTAAAAGTCTTAAGCTTACCGTCGCGACAGTTGCAGCAATGGTTTTGATTTGATACCTAAACAAAAGGAAATCCGCGAGGTATTCATTAGTATTGAATTTTATTGGTTAAAGTAGCACAGTCATGGTGTATATTCTTTCGATCTTACTTTTTATATTAGACAAAATTAATTCATACAAGGACCAAACTAAAAAAAATGTCAAACTTACATTGCTTACAGAGTTTTTCTGGCTTGCCAAGGTGAAGGAACGCAAGATCAGAACAAGAAACAACGGAGTAAGCAAGCGCAACATTTTGAGTTCACTCTCCTTTCAGTGCTTCTTTCGTTTTCAGTTGGAAATGGCGAGTTTCACTTTGATGGGAAAGATGGTTCTTTTATTTTCTTAACATCAAAAAACGGCGAGATTATTAAAATTTTAATATTTGTAATACTTATGATAATTTTGATGCAAACATTGGTTGAGCTGTCATGACCTTGTCATGTGCTGACTGTTCTTGTCCACCAAGAGCTTTTTATAAAAGTGGAGTAGTCAGCATTGAGTGTAACAAACCGTTTATTAGAATTACAGTACTTAGCGATTTGATTTCAATACAGAATTTTCCAGAAACAAGTAAAAAAAAAGAACATCGCATTGTCATTAGATGCAATCAGCCACGTGAGGAGAGAGTCAGAGATAGTATTTACTTAACAAACTTAATAGTATAAGGCGCTCAACCTTCTTCTCCTAACCTACTTTACTTTGCCTTAAAAAATTTACGCTGAAGCCAGAGTAAATGAAAAAGAAAAAGATTGTTGTTGTTTCACATAAAATAAGCGACGCTTTCTTCATGATCCCACCGCAGCGGGGAGGATCGATAACGGAGGCGAAAGCTGAACACCTTAGGTTTGATATCTTAGAAGAAAAAAAATAAAACTGGAAAAAATAGATAAGAAGAAAAAAAATCAGGCTCCAAAAAGACCGTCCGAGAATATGATTGATCGGCAATTACTTTTGCTAGGTACAGTAGCCTAAAATATGTCGAACTTCTTGGTAATTATTTATCTGAGGTTCTTATTCTACCGTATGTGCCAAATCCGTCATGTGACTAAACACGTGATCAGAATCTAAAATTAAGGAAAATTGTATGAATTTACTTTGTATAGATAAATGAATTATCGTTTCTGATAGAGGATAATCGTACTTAAAAACTTTCAACGTTTGGGATGAATAGCGGAAGAACTTGATACACACTTATCCTTTGCGAGTGGCAAAGAGTCGCAAGATGCATGGACTCTGGGGCCTGGTGGAAATAGTCAATGTGCTGTCAAAGAAAACAGATAAATTCTGGCCTAAGCTTGAACAAAGACTCTGTGAGAGAGCCTAATCAGTATTTTGCAAGTTTACGTCGCGATAATAATAATAATAATATGAAAATCTTGGAAAACATTTCTGTGCCACATCTATTCACCCTGCTTAGCAGTAGCTGGCATCTGATACATGTCACATCTTGTCTGATTGGTACCAAAGATGTCATCAATTATCATGATTTAAAAAATCATCTTAGTCATCCACTGACTCTAATAGGTTATTTAATTTATATGATTCTACCCAATTAGCAACTTGAGGGTTTATTTGGAGTAACAAACGAATGCTATTCTATATCCGGGTTCTCACTCTTATTGGTAACTTAATAATGGGGAAAAAATCTGGGACATCTCTACAAAACAAGTGTTGGAAAGCAAACGAAAATGATCCTTGAGCTCATCCTCGGAGACCCAGGGGCAGATAGTGGGGGCAAGGGAAAGTCTAAACGAGCGGGAAAATATGGCGCGAAGAAAAGTAAAGAACGGCGAGAAGAGCCCCTGGGGACAATGTCTTACCAGACCAGTTCCAAACGGTCGCCGCCGTTCTGACTTCTGATTGGTGCCAGAAAACTTTTGTGTTTTTGTGCCCAATCAAAAGGCAAAACGGCGGCGACCGTTTGGAACTGGTCTGGTAAGACATTGTCCCCAGGGGCTCTTCTCGCCGTTCTTTACTTTTCTTCGCGCCATATTTTCCCGCCCGTTTAGACTTTCCCTCGCCCCCACTATCTGCCCCTGGGTCTCCGAGGATGCAGGGAGATCAGACCACCAATAAAACTCCAAAGGTTCTGTTTACATGGAGCCAAGCTAACTAGAAGATCAGATAAAGTTTTTGGTTTATGATCAGTTCGTGTCAAGATGTGTTTGGTGCTACCAATAATATTCTTGCCATCACGACAGATCACTCGCTATTACCTCGATATTCTCGCAGTAAAGACATTGTCGAACGTAATCTCTCTTATTAGAAATTTGGCCTCTTCGGTGATGTACATATACTTTTGTTTAATAATTCGTCAGTTGTTAGCTTAAGGGAATATAAAGCGAATAAAAGAAAGCGAGTCTTTTATAGCTGTAGAAGGCTAAGATAAATTTTGTGATATTGAAAAAGAGCCGGTATATAAAATGCTTAGTTTCCAACTTTCTGATCCAATCCTTACAACTCAAGAGTATGTACCACATGGTGATAAAATTCGATGTTATACTTGATAATATCAAAAGTCCTTTTTCTTCTTGCATATTACAAAAAATACTTCTCCTGTCCGTTCGTTGAAATATTTTGAAAAACCGAAAAAAGAAATATGTAAAAAAGCAACACAGTTGTCATTAATTGACGCAGGCAATCGTTATTCGTAGTTCTTTAATTATTTCTGAGTAGGTTATTCCGAGAAACTTGGCCATAACAGATGCACTAGGCCGAGAGTGGAACTGAATCCAGCCCTTGCTTAATTTCCCCCTTCCCAAGCGACAAAGGGGTTGTTCTGAGAAAAAAAACCAACAAACTAACTAACAACCAATAAACAACACAACCAAATCGCCAATACTTTTTACTTTATTTTATGAGCAGTCAGTACAACATGCGAGAATTCCTTTCAACTGGACTAATATCAGGTCGTTTTAATCTGGACAACATTGTTGGAACGTTTAATGCTGCAGCAGTCTGTTTTAAAACCTACTTTATTATGGCCTGTTAACACCTAAGTATCTAATTCTTTCTCGCGTATTTAGCTGCTCGTGTATTGGCTTGATGGTTTTCCTAGCGCACCATCACCCAGATTGGCTTGTTCAGATAACAGTAGCCCGCAATACATTTGGTGCCCCGCGCCCTGCTGTCATCGCTGTAGATGTAGTTGTTTGAGCCGTCAGCACCATTCCACATGTCAAGCCACTTATCCGTGCCACCGTGACTTTCAGAGATCCCATTGTTTGAATAGAAGTGGAAAGAGGATATGGTGGCAAAACCCACGCTGGGATTTCTTTTCTTATCTGCTGGACTGTAGTTGTAAAATCCATTCACGTTCTTCATCACATTCATAGACTTCCCCATCAAGAACTTGTCGAATTCCTCCTTGTCTTTGTTTGGTGCGCCCGCCTTTCTGTTGTAAATGATTCGGATGGTATCAACGTCAGCAAAGCGGAACATAACCTCTTTCCAGTTCCCCATGCTTGGATGTATATGACTCGCAGCATCTACTTTCTTAGTTGCAGCGGCCACTGATGAAAAAACAGTTTTGATGAAGAGGAAGCCTGGGGAGACCTTTGTGGCAACCAAGGTCCAACCTCCACGCTCAGTTTCCATGTCGCAAAAGGCTTGGAATGAGTCAGCTGTCGAGCCACTGTTTGGATCAATCCAGTAAAGCCCACTGCCATGACTTTGGCCTGATAATAAATATACTGAAAAATGAATATTATTTTACATGATTGTTTATAAATTATGATTGATAAGATGAACTTTAGAAAGCATATTTAAGAAAGATGGCGGCTGCGCCATTACAAACTTTATAAAGGAGCTTTCACTCGCCCCCAATATATAGGCCTGCATTGCAGGCCAGCTACTTCTCAGCAATCTCTACAGCTATCTCCTCAGTCTCTTATGGATTCTTTTTATTTATCACAGTTTCAGCTTACCAGAATTTAAAATATCCAAGCAATGGCGGCCGGGTCTATCCTTCGTGTAACCTTTTCCAACAGTCAGCACTGGAAGCCAAACACTTCCATCACAGAGTTGCAAGGATTTCTGGGAAGTATTGTAACTAACAGTGCCGGCGATGTTTGCGGTACATTTCTCAGCGGTATCGCTAAACTTAATTACACCTCCTGCGTTGTTTCCTGGCGAACCACGTTCTCCTTTTTGACCCTGAAAAACAAACAAGTCCTAAACTATTCTTAAAACCAATCTAGGGTTAGGGAAACTTGAAGACTCAGATCTCCTTCTTTGTAATTCTTTTACTTAAGACTGTTCTTTACCGCTGAGATTTCGTCAGATTTCAAACGGAATTTTTTATCTTATGTAACTGATTATTAGAACAGAATAAGGTGGTACTGTGTCAGTTCGCTTTTACTACAGAAAATAGACTCTGGAGTTAAACAAGCGGGTTTTTAGAGGCAGCTGAAATCTCGGATTGCAGGGAACTTGAGTAATCTTATCCTTTTGTCCGGTGTTCTTAAAAGTTCTCGTCTGGCTTAGTCATCTTTGTTCCAAGAAATAATTTATCATCGATTTGATAATGGCAGAAAAAACTTTATCCCTTTTTAATATTTTTACCTTCATTCCGTTTCCTGCATTGATCCCGTCTCTTCCATCACGACCATCCTTTCCTTGGGTGTGAAAAAATAAAATTATTTAATGGTGAGTAGAAAAGAGAACGAGAAGAACTCACGGAAAAGAAAGCGGAAGACAACAATTTTAATCATGCCACGTCAGTGATATTGATCTCTTACTTAATACTTCATTTATTTTTCTACACCATCTAAATTAAAAAGTCCCAGCTCTGACTAGGTTATCTTATTTTTAACCAGATTCACTTTTCCATTTTCAACAGTCAGAACAGTATTTCCTGCCAGCAATCTACTATTCCATTTATGAGCAAAAGGTGTGAACAGATATATACGTATGGGTACTAAATTTGAAGGTTGACCGGGTCAGAAAGTATTTTACTGCTTAATAGAATGGGACGGACTTGAATCGTCAACATTGCGTCAATTAGTGAAAACATGCCCGGTTATATTGATATGTGCGATGTCTTATCTTACCGTTCTGACCATCTCTTCCATCCCTTCCTAGGG